AATACTAAAAAGACACTACTCTTGGAAAAGAGTAAGGAGGATAGTGTCTCCTCCAAAAATCTTGTGCAAAAGGAAAGTCACTTTTTAATTCAAAATGATTGCAAAAAGACTTTTCTTCTTCACAAAGATTTTAACTCTTTTTCTACTGCTACCACAACCTTAGAGCTTAAGATCCACAACCTAAACATTTTTGAAAATAAAGGATCTCAATTTCTTAGTCTTGTGAAGAATGAGTGGACTTCACCTAGTTCTACTTCTTATGCTACTACTTTGGTGGTGCCCAAAGTAGACAGCCATTGTCTATTTAGGACTTCTCTTTCTTTAGTTATTCTAATAAAGCACCCAACCTTTGGTTTATATTGTTTATTAGATACATCTTATGGTGTCTTATTTTCCATTTTTGATCTTAAGGCAAGTTCATTTATGTTGGTCCACACGTTAAGAGAGAGTGCGTGTGCAATTTGAATATATGAGAGGTAGTGCAAGATTAATATTCTAATAATGTCGTCATCGAGAAGGGTCCACGTCCTCTCCGTGCTTTTCCTCTACGCTGTCACGTATTAATATTATAATAATGTTCCTCTACGCTATCTCCGGGGGACCGGTGTAGCCGGCGATGATTCAACACCTATTAATTTATGTTGCATTCTGGTCCACACGTTAGGAGAGAGTGTGTGTGCAATTTGAATATATGAGAGGTAGTGCAAGATTAATATTCTAATAATGTCGTCATCGAGAACGGTCCACGTCCTCTCCGTGCTTTTCCTCTGCGCTGTCACGTTCCAAGCCTCATCAGAAGCTGAATCATGGCTCAGAATCGGTTACTGGTACAGCGGAAGCGAGTTTCCCATATCCGAAATCAACTCGGCCCTCTACACTCACCTCATATGCGCCTTCGCCGACGTGAACGCTTCCTCCTTCGAAATAAGCCTCTCCTCCTCAAACCAGCAACGCTTCTCGACGTTCACGAACACCGTCAAACTCAAAAACCCTTCCATCACCACTCTTCTCTCCACCGGGGGAGACCAAAACAGCGCCACCATCCAATCCATGCTCACCAACGCTTCTTCAAGGAATCCCTTCATTCAATCCTCGATAGCAATGGCCAGGCTTTACGGATTCCACGGCCTCGACCTTTCCTGGTCCACCATTGAAACATCCTCCGACGCAGACAACCTAGGACAACTTTTCCACGAGTGGCGTCTTGCTGCCAAATCCGAAGCCAATAACTCTACGCTTCCGGAACTCTTCCTAACCGCTGCAGTTCAAGCTTCACCAGATTTGAACTACGGGTCCTACCCTGTAGACCGGATGAGAAGTAACTTGGATTGGGTACATGTTAACGCATACTCTTACCATACACCCTCGACGCAAAACTTCACTGCTGCACCTTCGGCTTTGTATGACCCTCATAATACTTATATCAACACGGACTATTACATCAAGGCGTGGATTGGGAAGGGGTTGGAGGCTAACAAGTTGGTTTTGGGTTTGCCTTTCTTTGGATTTGCGTGGAAACTCCAAAACCCCGATAACGACAAAATAGGTGCACTGGCAACGGGTCCAGCAGGTGGCGCGGACGATGGCTCTATAAGCTACAGGGACATAAAAAATAGTGTTCAGCAAAATGGGGCTCAAGTAGTGTATAATGGGACTTATGTTACCAATTATTGCTCCTTTGGATCAACATGGATTGGCTACGACGATGTTGAGGTTGTTCAAAACAAGGTGTCCTATGCAAGGGAAAAGGGGCTGCTTGGTTACTACGTTTGGCAAATTTCCCATGACGACCAAGATTGGACACTTGCTCGAGCAGCAGGTAAAACAATCAATTTTATTTCCAGTAATTATCCACATAGTTATTGATGTTTTGTTCCTCTAATAGGTGTTGTAATTCTTCTTCAAATTTCAAAACTTTGAGTATTGAGATTTAATAAAAAAAAATTATAAGAAAAATAATCTTAATACAATGAAAGTCTTGAAGAAAATTAATTTATAACAAGGTGAAAAAATATTATCTTCTTATCAAACTTTATGAATTTTTTAATATTATTTAATACTTCTAATTAAACATTAATATACTTATAATTAATTCTAAAAAGTAAAACAATAAATATCATATCAATGTTAATCCTAAGCGTGTGATTTAGCAGTAGGGGTTGATTCACGCTTAAGTAAAGCTAGGAGTTTGAATCCTGTCTTGTGTACGCTGTTGCGTTTAATCTTGGGACCAGCTATCCCGCCTTTTGTGTCTTCCAGGAGATTACTCCAGGAACGAACCAAAATATATATATATATATATCATATCATATCAATGCTCATTATAAAATTTAAATTATTTCAAAATTAATATAGTATTTTCAATTCCTCATGTTTTGAGGTTTTTAATTATTCAAATTCAAATAAAAACAATTAGTTGTAGCTTCAAATTAATAATACCAGATTTGTATCAATGAGAATTAGTCTTGTAAGCGGATAGAAAAGAATTTACTTACACATTGAGTTGAACAGCTCCGTACGTTCTGACTTAGTTATCTCTACCGTTCCATTCTTAGCTGAGCAGGTTGACAACGACAAAGATGAACGGTGGAAATTAATTGTCATCATTTTGAGTGTAATTGCTACCGGTGTCGTGTTAGGTGTGACAATCTACTTGCGAAGAAAGAGAATATTCAAATCAACTGGTAAAATTTTCAGCTAGCTTTGTTTATTTGCGATTTTAGAGTTGATATGAAAATGTCCATTGATGAAAAACTTCCTACTTTGTATATATAGGGAGGACACTGACTAAACCTTCGCAGTCTAAAGTGAATGATAAAGAAGCTGCAGGACCTTTTCATGGGGATGCTCCAGATTTACAAGTGTATAGATTTTCTGACATTGAAGCGGCTACAGATAAATTTTCATATGAAAATAAGCTGGGACAAGGTGGTTACGGTCCTGTTTACAAGGTAAAATATTAACAAAAGAACTACTAAAGTGTCTTGCATGTCTTTAACAGAAGATTTAGGGAATAGATTGATGACTTTGATCAAGTCTTTGTGCTCGTTTTAATTAATGTCAAATGTTTGGTCTTTTTTTATTTTATTCTTCATAATTAAATAAAATGACAAAACTTAGTTATAGATTTATAAAATTGATACTATTATCATTCACTTCTATATTATGCTTTCATATTTTATGTAAATCTATGTAATATATATTAACACAAATATACTACCAAAGTGAAATTACAATTCTAATTAGTAAACAACTTCAACTAACTGGATCTAAGTTTTGTTCTAAATAAAATTAGAGCTTATTAGTAGTCATGTATTGTTGATGTAAAACAATTTTATATGTGTTAATCAATCAAAAATCACTATTAATATAATAAAATAATTATCATAAAAGTTGTTTACTTTGTATATAATAATAATATTTTATGATTGGATGAGATAATAATAAAGTTGTTTTACAATTCACATTCTATTCAATATTTTTGCATAAAAATGATGCAAAGTAAAGCTAATAGCATTAATTTCTGAACGCAAAATCAGCCAAATTAATCTAGTCCTATTTAACTAGTTTAGAAGACCCCTTGACAAAACTATTTTGGTAAAATAATATTCCCGTGAGAATGCCTTCTCTCTGGTGAAGTCCTAACCATTAATTAGTGTTTGTTGTTCGTGCAGGGCATCCTACCTGATGATCAGGAAATAGCCGTAAAGAAATTATCAAAAGCTTCTACACAAGGATTTGAGGAATTCAAAAATGAGGTAACACTAACAGCAAGGCTACAACATGTGAATCTTGTTCGGTTGTTGGGTTTCTGCATTGAACGAGGGGAGCAAATGCTGGTGTATGAGTACATGGCTAATAAGAGCCTCGACTTCTACCTTTTTGGTTTGATTTCTTTGCAGCTTTAAACTCTATATACTTGAAATATAAGTGCGTCACTCTTTTAAGTTAAAGCCATAAATGGAAGCCTCCATTCCATGATCTTGCCTTTAACTAAAAAGAGGGATAAAGAAAATTAATACATGACTTTGGCTTACACCTTCAGTCTAGTTAATTACTGCTGTCAGAATCATCATAATAGTAGAGGTTTGAGGCAAATACATAAAAGCTTTGATTAGATTTTCATGTTACTATTGTCGTAATCGTTTTTACTTAAACAAAATACCACCATTTAAAAAAATATTTAAAAATTATTTGATATTCTTTTTTATTAATTCAAATTAATGTATAAAATATTTTTATAATTATTCATTAATTTGAATTAAAGAAATAAAATATGAAATAATTTTCAAATTCTTTAAAATTTTGTAAACTTGATATATATATTAAGAACTTTTAATTTTAACGATTAGATTATTAAAATTTGATATAAAACATAATTATTGAACAAAATAAGTTTAAGTAAACTTATTTTTAAAGTAAGTGAATTACTCCTCTATATATATGCAATTACTTATATCAAATTTACATGATTTACTAGTTTTGCATAGATATTTACTTGCAAAAATAAAGGGCCAAATAAGAACAATCAACAATTTGAGAGGAACATAGAATCAAATTTGAAAATGGTGATATGATTTTTTTAACTAATTACTTAACTTTTGTCATATAAAATTTCAAACAGACCCTATTAGAAGATTTTTGTTAGATTGGAGTAAGCGCATTAACATCATTGAGGGGATTACACAAGGCCTTCTTTACCTTCAAGAATATTCTAGATTCACCATAATTCATAGAGACTTAAAAGCTAGTAATATTTTATTAGACCTGGAGATGAAGCCGAAGATTTCAGACTTTGGAATGGCTAGAATATTCACCAAAAATGAACTAGAGGCAAACACTAGCAAGATTGTGGGAACATAGTGAGTACCCTGAAGATAATAATTAATGCTTTACAATTTGAACTTTTCTTAATTATATATTTAGCAAGTTAATTACTTAGTGTTGTTCTCATGATTTGTTATGATGCAGTGGTTATATTCCTCCGGAATATGTTAAAGGTGTTTACTCCACTAAATCTGATGTGTATAGTTTTGGTGTCTTACTTCTACAAATTATAAGTGGCAAGAAAACCCACCACTTTTATGGAGAGAACCAAGATTTAAAGCTTTTGGAATATGTAAGTCATTTATAAAAATTAACCTTTGGTAAAAAATAATAATTGATTAAAATTTTGATAAAATTTACTTGTCATACCATAGGTTTAATTAAATTTTTTTACATACATTATTGAGATAAAACTTTATTTTGATTAAAAAATACCACCAACAAGAATTATGATATTGCACCTAAGTTTTGTCTTTAAATTTTTATTGTTTTCTTGTTTTGAAGATCATTATTTATTCCCATGACCGTGATGTTTTATGTGTAATGGCCGTAGGCATTTGAGTTATGGAAAGAAGGAAAGGGTATGGAGTTCATGGATGATTCACTTGATGATACATGTTCACCGTGTAAACTAATGAGATGCATGCAAATTGCTTTGTTATGCGTCCAAGAACATGCATGTGATAGGCCTTCCATTCTGGAATTTTCATCAATGTTAAGAAATGAAAATATATCTCTTACCATTCCCAAAAGGCCAGCATTTTCAAAAGCGAAAGACGAGGAAGAAGTAAATGAGTGTAAACCACTAGAAATTATTTCAGTCAATGACGCAACCATCACTGAAATGGTGGCCAGATAGTACATTAATTAATATTAATGTACAAGGCTTTATTACAGTGACAACAGTGTAATTCCCAAGATGCGGCTTTATCTCTGGTAACATGGATTTGCAATTTTCAAACCATTAAACTTCACCTAGTGATATGTATATTGTCGTCATTGTTATTCTAGTTTGAATTTAGGATTGACTACTCAACACTTATTACTAGATCCACCTTATTACAGTGATAAACTATATGAGTTGCACAAATTACAATTAAACTACCATTATATTGGAATTAATTTGTCTAACAATTTTTATATAAATAATAGTAGAATTTGAACTTGTAGCCATAAAAAAAAAGTTAACCACTTGTATCAACTCATGTTTACATATACCTTTTTGATGGGGTTATTTTTAAGGATCTTCTCAGAAGCTTAATAATTTTTCAGCTAATTACTTGCAGGCACGTAACGAAATATCAACCGTGTCACACGATGCTGTTGATTTGGCGTGTAATTGGTGGAGGGATCGAGACGTTGATGTGAGGATGAAGAAATGAAGGGAAACTGCAACTCTGCGAACCCTACCACGGCAAAGAATAACGATGGAGGAAGAAGACCACCGATGAAGAACCACAACGTTGCAAAAGAAACGACAGCGGTTTCTACTCAAGTGCACCTTTACTAGATTAAATAATAATAATAATAATAATAATAATAATAATCA